AGACTCTCTTATCTTGCCAACCTATCAAATTCCATTATTAATAATGGGAAGCATATAATGTCCCTTAATGAATATCAAATATAATTGAAGTAAACACAGAGCTCTACTAAAACTTTTAAAATTTACTCACATACCCAGAAGTCTGTACTTCTAGTATTGAGATCTCATTTTAAATCTCTTTGTACATTCAAAACGTATTTACACCAAAAGAACAGACACATCTTATTTTACTGTCCTAAGGGCTCATTCCATTTTCTTGCAGTATAACTACTGTTAATGAGCTAGGCTCAATAAAATACATAAGCAATTTATAAGAAATAATAATAAACAATTGAAAAAAATGCTTAACAATACTAACATAGTTAAAACATATATTAAAATGTCATATTGAGTCTTTAAGCAGCACGTTGAAATAACTAAGGAAGATCTAGGCAACTTCCTTCACCTTATGACTCAAGGAATTAGAGCACACACCATGACCTCTAGAGCTGATTTTGATTGGTCGGAAATAAACCAGACTCTTAGAGGTGTTGCATAAGTAAGCCATCTTCTCGTATGTATACTCTTAACCAAAATGCCAGGATCATCCAGCATATCTTGAGAACTTCTATCATTCCCAAAGCTAGTGATCGTATCAATTTGACTCATCTTTTGTCTATTGTCAAGCTAGTGATCGTATCAATTTGACTCATCTTTTGTCTATTGTCACATACTTGATAATGACTGAAACTCATATTGATGAAGCCCAACTTATCATGGACTACATCTACATACTTTTTGATATTGGACTTTCTCACAATAGGAGAAAGAAAAATGTGTCCTTAAGACACTTAGTTACCTACATCTTAGACAAAAAGTATAACCTAATACATCCTAATCCTCCCACTCAACTACCCATTTACTTTACCGATGCCTCTTTTCGTGCACTTTTTGGTCGGGATCAAAGTTCTGAGAGAGAAGATTCAGAGGGAGAAGGAGCCCCAGCTCCAACACCTGGACCCGATCAAAATTTCTATCAAGAAATGGTCCAACGTTTTGACAGACTGGAAATTCATTTCGATCAACATTTTGATCAAATTGAGAATCACCTGAACTAGCAGGATGCTAGGTACAACGAGGACATGGTTTGGATCGAGGGCAATTCGTCTCGGTCAACACTAATGTAGCTACAATCAATAGCTACTTTATGATGTTCAACCCTCAACCACCTCCAGACCAAGGCCCCTTAGCATTCTAGTTGTTACTTCTGTGTTCTACTTGCTATTGAGAGTTTCTATTTGTTATTGAGATATTTTCTTATGATTTCATGTGTTGGTTTCTTCATGCTGTTGTTGTTCCATTTCTAGAAGATGATGTTTTAAATGGAAAGATTTGTTTGTATGTGTTTCTTGTATTAAATAAACTGATGGAATGATATTTTGATTTTTGACATGCATTGAAATTTTTCTTCTTGAAATGTTTATGTTTTTAGAGACAAATCATTTGTAGTTGATCTCTAGAATGAAATTTTGAATTACTTTGCTCTACAAATTAATTAATTTGCAAAATTTAAGCTCTCAAATTTTAAATTAAAATTATGGCTAGATATAGATTAGAATATCAATTTCATGTTCTTATAGAGAAGTATTACTTAACTGTTCTTATAGAGAAGTGTTACTTAGTTATAATTGTTGCAAAATAGAGGTCTTATTTTTATTTTATTTTTTAAATGTGTTTATTTTTATTAATTATTAAAATTTATGTTAAGATTTATTGATTCTGGAAAGACCAAAAATACAAAAAGTTGCACAAAGCCTGCTAAACTTGAAAAGATGCACAAAATGTGCCACTAGTTTAAAAAAATGCGCAATGTTCGCTAAAGTGAAAAAGGCACAAAAATAAGCCAAAACTGAAAAGATGCATAAGGTGTGCCACAAACAATTGAAAAGATGCGTAATATTGTCAATTAAAAAATTCATATCGTTCTTTCCTTTATCATTCTATCTCTCATACAAATTCATATAATCGACAATAATCTTGACCATTGAATTAGAAACTAATTAATTTTTATTTTATTATTTCTATAATAATTATTTTTATTTGATTTTCTTAGAATGAACAGTAAACTTGTTTGATTTTTCTTATCTTCAATTTTCTTTGATTTAAAATTTGAGTTTTTCTTTTTAGCATTAGGAAGTTAATGTTGTATTTGCAATTACTTTAAAATCTTATTTTTTATCAACTATTTTGGTTTATCTATAAAAACTTTTCATTTCAAGATGTTCTTCCCTTTTTGTTGTTTTCAAAAGGGGGAATCATTAGTTATTGTTTGATCTATTAGTTATTATTTGATGTGTTGTTTGTTTGTTGTGTTTAATGTTTGTTATGATTATTTGTGTGTGATTTTTGTGATATGTTATTGTGTGTGTTTGTTATGTTTATGTTTTTTTTTTTTTTTTTTTTTTTGTTGTTGTGTTGTTTTTGCGTTATGTTTATGTTTTTTTTTTTTTGTTTTTTATTGTTGTTGTGTTGTTTTTGCTTAAGTTTTTGGGTTTTTTTTTATTTTTTGTTGCTTTTTTTATTTTCATTTGAACCCTTTGTTTTAAATTGGTCATTCATTTAGGGGAGCTTAAGAGAAAAATTGTCTTAAGTGTTAACTCAAATAATAATTATTTTGCCATGATAAAAAAGTGAGAGATTGTTGCAACTTAGTTTCAAAATTATGTTTTTATATCATGTGAGTTTTTTATGATACCAAAATATTATTGTGTTAATTATTGTTTCTTCTAACACATATTTGAAAAATGTTGTTTGTGCTATTTGTATGTACTAACGTTTCAGGGAAATCATACTCCAGACTATTGAAAACTTCAAGATAGATTAGATTAGGATTTCTTGTAATTGAAGTCTATATTTTTTCTTTTTTTTTTAAGTCTGAGAAAGTGTGATTGTAATTGGGTAACAGTGCACACACAAATTGGGGGAGTGAGTAAAATCTTTTTAAAACTAATCGTACTATATGATTATTGAATCGTACTGGACGATTTGACCTGAAAGTTTATCCATAACTAAGTTAGTCAAATCATGTCTTGAAAAATTTATTTTAAACTGTTCATACTGTACGAAGTTTTCTTCGTACAGACGACGTCCAGAGTATATAATGGATACGTACTAGTTCATCACGAACGAACTCACCAATTTTTGTACTGAACGTACTGTAAGAAGTGAAGTTCGTACATATGACGTCCAGAGTACGAAATGGGTGTGCATCAGTTCGTCCCATTTGAACATCTACATTTTTTTGAAATATTCATACTGTACAAACTTGGGTTTGTACAGACGACCCCCCGAGTATGAAATGGGTTCGTCCATATTCGTGCCATACGAATCATGATTTGAGTTAACAAGTTCGTACTGTACGATGTAGGGTTTGTATAGACATTGACCAGAGTACGAAATGGATTCGTACAGAATCGTACCAAACGAATCTGTTCAATTTTGAATTGTTCGTACAGTATGTTGTTAGTTTATACATACGACTAACGGAGTATGAAATTAGTTCGTACAGGATTGTACAATGATTTTTTGAATTGTTCGTACGTGCAAAGTGCAATCGTACTGAACGAACTAAGTACGTTCAATTTTATTTTTTTAGTTTTTTGGACTGTTTTTCTTGTCCTTCATATATAAGAGTCCTATAACTAACTATCCAAAACTTCTTCTGCAAATTTTCTCTTGAGAGTGAAAGTGAGAGTGTTTGGGAGTGAGGATTGAGATATCTTACAAGTAGAAATTGTGAAGGGTTCACAAGGTTGCCCAAAGGTGATGATCTATTTATATGTTCTTTAAATCTGTGCCCTACTTCTTTGAAGACTCTTGAAGAGAAAATATTTTGAGAAGATATGGTACTCTGCCATTAGCGTGAGGGTGAAAAAGGACGTTGGTATTCTACCATCACTATGAGGGTGAGAAAAGACGTTGGTACTCTGCCATCACCATGAGGGTGAAAAAGGACGTCGGTACTCTGCCGTCACCAGGAAGATGAGAAAGGATGCTGGTTCTCTGCCGTCACCAAGAGGATCAGAAAGGACGGCGGTGCTGCACCAGGGTTGGTGGAAGAGAGGTTGTTGTAAGGGCTTCTCCGCCTTACTGTGGGAGCAAAAGGAGAGTCACTTTGGTATATGTAATACCTGAAAGAGTCTTCAGGGAGGTGACGTAGGTCTAGTTAGACCGAATCACTATAAAATTTGGTGTTCTTGTCTTTACTTTTTACTATTTTTTATTTTCTACACGTTTAATTTTTGTGGTTGAAAAATATTTTGAGAAAATTTTTATTATTGTGTAAAATATCAAAATCGGTTTTCTAAATTACCAAGAGATTGTTAAATAACCAATTCACTCCCCCCCCCCCCCCAGCCCCCCCCCCCCCCTCATAGTTAGCCTTAGGACAGTTGTATTAGGTCTAACAACCTATTTAAACTTTCATGATGTAGAAATCATAATGACCATGAGTTGAAATTGAAATCTTAAAGTTTAGAAGAAAATTTAATCAGAGTTATTGGTAAGCTAGAAGAGATGTCTGGCCAAATAGAAGACCTTAGTTTCAAAAGAACAATGATACCCTAGTTGTCACATAAATTTGATATCTGTCAACAGTATTTTGAACAATCTTTTAGTTTAGATTCCATAAGCTGTTGCAGCAATGCATTATCACATTATTTTGCTACAAGAGGCTTCTTTCTTCTTGTATGATTTATGATCCTCGCAGAATCAACGAAAAGCCATCAGATCAAATGATTGCAAAGCACTATACTTTTCCAACTAAAAACATCTTTTTCCTTCTATGTTTAACTTGGTGATGTTTTGCTGTCACTACATTCTAGTAATAGAGCTTTTAGTGAGAATGATTATAGTAGTTCAGGCTGCAATTTTCAGTGAAAAGCATAGAATAACTTTGATTGAAAAACGTCTTGTGATTTTAAGAAGTTTAATAACTGTGTGGTTGTTTCCTTGCCCTTCAGGTTGAGCTGCTTCTTGGAAAGGCATACTCTGATTGGGGTCACGTCAGTGATGCTGTAGCAGTTTATGATCAACTCATTTCCAAGTACCCAAATGATTTTCGCGGTTACTTGGCAAAGGTTCATTACCATGTTCTCCTTTAATTTTGTTTTCAATAACTTTTTTTTATCATGGTACCCTAGGTTTTCTCTTATAATAGAGAGCAATGCAGCTTTGTTGATACATGTCATTCTGGTCGCCCAAATGACTTCCAGTGTTACTTGGCAATGGCCCTTACCATGTTTTCCTATTATTATTTTTTTCCAAAGTGGTGCCCAAGTTTTCATTTATAAGGGAGCAATGTAGCTTTGTTAATTCATGTAATTCTGGTCATCAAAAAGCTTTGCTATATGAAGTCATTATGTTTATTTAACTCCGCAGTAAAACCTTCCTAGAACAATTGAAATTGAGTTCAAAGCTATATTGTCAAACTCTAATGCGATGTGCTGTACCATTTAAATAGTTCAGCCGCATCATTTGTATGCAACTTTGCTCGCAAATACTTTTCAACTATATAACTTCCCAACGGTAAATCTCCACAAATTTTCTGGATTTAGAATACGAATGATATGGTATTAAACTTGGTATGCTATAAGATATCACATATTTATGAGTGGTTTGATCTCTAATGTGTGGTTTGGAGAACGAGATTATGATTTGTAGATTTTATATAGTAATTATAGACTTGGTGATGTGATGCATGGATGGAGTTACACAAGAGTTAAAAGAGAATTAAATTCTAGCTCAACCAATTATATAATCATGTATCAAAGTTAATTCGATTACAAGGAATTCATGATGTTCAACTTGCTAGGCATAGAAATTTCAACAATATAGCCAAACTATTTAAACAATTGCAAAGGAAAACATAAGGCTACGACTAGTAAATAAAAATCCCACAATTAATACGGAGTTGTTCACACCTTGAGACATTTATCTCTCTTTCCTACGGAGACTAGGTTGAGCGGCGGAAGATTGTCCAGACTAGCATCAAGGTTTCCACTAAGATGGAGGAGCCAAGGAACGTCGCAGTGGGGAAGGATCTCAGAGGCGGAGGGGGCACGGTAGATCGACCTTTGATAATCCACGTGTAGATGAAGAAGTGTTCGTCGATGGAATCCACTAGCGTAGGCAAGATCCGGTCCAAATATTCTTCGACGGTGTCGTCGAAGTCAAAGCCGACGTCGAAGAATTGTGATCGGAGGATGTTGACCCTTCCGTTGTTGTCGTACTCAAACCCGAAGTTCCACTCGGGTTCGTCCATGCATTCTTGCAAGTGGAGCCGGGTGGTCGCCGCAAGAAAGGTCTCGAAAGGAAGGGAGAGAGGGGGCGGCGGCTTGGAGAGGGAAAAGGAGGGCCGGTGGTAGAACAAGGGTGAGGGGGCGGGCTGGTTGAGAACAAAACTGAAGTTTAATTTCAGTTTTGTGAAATTGGGAGGGAAGGATTAGGGATTTTGAAATTCCAATTAATGTAATCAATGCATTAATTGAAAATTTCAATTGGGGAGAGGTTATGGGAGAGCCGGCGGTAGGAAGAGGGGGATTAGGGGAAATAAAACTGAAATTATTTCAGTTTTAAGATGAGTGGAGGGAAAATTTCAATCCTAATTTGAATTTCAAATAGGATTTGGGGGATTTAATTGAGCCATTAATGGGATTTCCCATAGGGGGCCGGCGGCATGGTTAGAGAGGGAGGGGATTGGGGGAGAGAGGAAGGGGGTTTCCAAGTGGGATTTGATGACTAGGAAAATCTGAAAATAAATCCACTCTCATGCAAATTTTATTTTGGATTGATTTCAAAAACTTTCCAAAAATAGAATTTCTCAATTTGGAAAGTATTGAAATTTGAAAATCAAATTTCAATGAGGAGTTGGGGAAGCCGGCCGTCGATCTCCGTGGTCGTCTCTGATAGACGCGCCGAAATCTCCTATCGATGACCTCATCATTCTCCCCGGGTGGGAGAGAACTCGACCCCGTCGAGTGTGTGCTACGAAAGCTCTCATATAACTCCAGCAGGTCTGGGTCCAGTCTCTGTAGCTCCTCTCGATCGATCCACGTGTCTTCTGTCTCCGGAGTTCCTTTCCAATGGACTAAGTACCGTTGGCGACCTCCATCTTTTGTGGAAATAATCTCATCATCCAGAATGGTTTCAATCTTTTTCGCTCTAGGTAAATGGGGTAAATTGGGGAGTGGAGGAAGGCTAGGGATCTCATCAGGTGGGATCACACAAGGCTCATCATAAAGTGGATTGTTGGGGTTAAAATTAGGACCCTCAAAGGCTACTATATCCTCTATATTAAAAGTGGGATTCATATTAAACCCTTTCCGAGAGTTCCAGCACATAAGCATTATTGTTAACCTTCGCAAGTATTTTAAAGGGTTCGGCGCTTCTCGGATGTAATTTCTTTACAGACCCAGGAGGAAAATGCTCCGGGCGGATCCGTACCATCACAAAATCTCCCACCTTGAATTCTTTAAATCTCCTTTTCTTATCAGCATGAATTTTAGAATCAGTATTGCTTTGTTCAATTTTCTTTTTAATTTCATTGTGTAACTCATGCAGATGAGATGCGAATGCGAATGCAGACTCAGATGTTCTAGTCCTAGGACTCATGGGAACTAGGTCAATGGGCTGATTTGATTGATATCCATACACGATTTCAGCAGGACTGAGGCCAGTGGTTCGGTTTATAGAGTTGTTGTAAGCAAATTCTGCTACATGAAGCTTTGAGTCACAATCCCTAAGGTTCTCTCCTACCAAAGTCCTCAAAAGATTCCCTAGACTTCTATTGACAACCTCAGTTTGGCCATCGGTTTGGGGGTGAAATGCAGTGGAAAATTGGAGCTTTGTCCCCATTTTGTGCCAAAGGGTTTTTCAGAAATAGCTTGTGACATCTCTATCGGATACGATTGTCTTTGGAAGGCCATGGAGCCTAACTATTTCGTCAAAGTAAAGCTTAGCGATTCGGGAAGCATCGAATGTTTTGGAGCATGGGAGGAAGTGCGCCATTTGGAAAAATCGATCCACGTCCACAAAGACAGAATCATGTTTCCTAGTGGTTTTGGGTAGACCCAGGACGAAGTCCATACTTACATCTTGCCACGGGCGACTAGGTCCGGGGAGTGGAGAGTAGAGTCCCGTGTTCTGCTTTCGTTGTTTGGCCAGTTGGCAGATATGACATCGCTTCAAGAGCCTACCGACATCGCGTTTGAGGCTGGGCCAGTAGAAACAGTTTTCTAGAGCAGTGCTAGTTTTTGCCTGCCCAAAGTGGCCAACTAAACCTCCACCATGTAATTCCCATACGAGATATTCGCGAAGGGAGGTTTGGGGAACACAGAGTCTCTGAGCCTTAAATAGTTACCCATTGTCTAATAGGAAGTCATCTATCGTACGTTCTCCTCCATCGGTCAAGAGGGAGTAGGTGTCCTGAAAATCTGGGCAGTCCTTATACTCGTCCTTAAGGCGTTCAAAACCGATGACTTCATCCTTCATTTCCTGGGTTATCATCAGCCTCCTACTAAGGGCATCTGCAGCTTTATTCTCAGTTCCAGCTTTGTGTCTAATTGTGTAAGTGTACTCTTGCAAGAACTCGACCCAACGACCATGGCGGGCATTGAGTTTCTTCTGCGAATTAATGTACCTCAAGGCTTCATGATCAGAGAATATCATAAATTCTTGTGGCAGCAAGTAATGTCTCTAGTATCTAAGAGACTGGATGACCGCATAAAATTCCTTGTCATAGGTTGAATACCTCTGATGGATGTCATTTAATTTCTCGCTAAAATACGCCACAGGGTGTCCTTCCTGAGATAAAACTCCTCCAATACCGATACCTGACGTATCACAAGTTACTTCAAAAACTTTGGAAAAATCTGGGAGACGCATAACAGGGGCTTCCACCATTTTCTTCTTAATGTCCTCGAAGGCCTTAGTGGAAGCTAATGTCCAATGAAATTCGCCTTTCTTTAGGCAGTCAGT